CTAAAAAATCAATAGCATTCCTATACACAAATACATTCACTGAGAGAGAAATTCAAGAAACATCTTTCACAATAGCACCCCAAAAATGAAATACCTAAAACTCAATCTAATGAAGGAAGTAAAAGACCTTTTCATTGAAAACTATAGTACTCTGAAAAAGGAGATCAAAGAGGATATCAGAAAATGGAAATATATTTCTTTGTCTTGGATAGGAAGAGCCAATATAGTGGAAATGGCCATATTTTCAATATTTTTATACAGAATTAATGAAATCCTGGTCAAAATTCCAATAGCATATCTCATAGAACAAGAGGAAACCATTCCTAAAATTCATTTGGAACCAGAAGAGACTTAGATAGCAAAAGCAATTCTGGGCAACAAAGGCAAGGCAGGAGGCATCACAATCCCTGACTTGAAATTATACTACAAAGCTAAAGTACTATGACAAAAACAGCATCGGACTGGCAAGAAAACAGACCCAAAGATTAATGGAACAGATTAGAAGATTCAGAAACAACTCCAAACACACTCAGCCACCTCATCTTTGACAAAAGAGCCAAACACCTTCACTGGAAGAAAGATAGCCCCTTAAATAAATCATGCTGAAATAACTGGCTTTCTGCATGCTGAAAATTAAAAATAGACCCACGTCTTTCACCATGCACTAAACTAAAATCGAAATGGATCTAAGATCTAAATGTTAAAATAGAAACACTAAATCTGCTGGAAGAATGGGTAGAACTCTTGAAGACATAGGTGTAGGCAAAAACTTTATGAACAAAACCTCAATTCCACAGGAAATATTACAAAAAAATCAACAAGTGAGATCTCATCCTATTAAAAAGCTTTTGCAAAAAAACCCAGTAATAATTAATAATAACAATAATTAATTTTTTAAAAAGCATTTGCATAGCAAAGGAAACAACCAACCCAAAGAGACAATTCACAATGTGGGAAAAAATTGCCAGCTCTTTCTCAGATAAAAGACTTATCTAGAATATATAAAGAACTCAACAAAAATAAGACCAGATGTAAATTAAAGTAATGCTGAGATTCCATCTCACTCCAGAAAGAATGGCTGTTATGTAGAAATCAACCAACAGCAAAAGCTGGGCAGGCTGTGGGGAAAAAGAAACTCTTCTTCATTGTTGTTGAGAGTGTAAGCTGGTGTAACCACTGTGGAAATCAGTGTGGAGATTCCTCAAAAAACTAAAACTAGAGGTTCCATTTGCCCCAGCTATTCCCCTTCTTGGTATGTTCCTGAAAGAAGGCAGGTGTGGTACCTTTGAGCTTGGCCCTCTGAAAGAATCAAAGAATCATACCATAGTGACATATGCACACCCATGTTTGTAGCAGCTTAGTTTGTAATAGCTAAATTTTGGAAACAGCACAAATGCCCATGAACCAATGAATGAATAAAGAAGTTGTGCATGTGTGTGTATATATGCAATGGAGTACTACTCTGCCATAAAGAAGAATAAGCTTGAGACATTTCTAGCTAAATGGAGGGACCTTGAGATCATAATTTTTTTTATGGTTTTTTGAGACAGGGTCTCACTATGTAGCCCAGGCTGGTCCTGAACTTCTGCTGATCCTGCCGCCTCTGCCTGCCTAGTGCTGGGAAGCTCCTCTTCCTTTCTGTGTGATGCTAGGGATTGAACCTTTGTCCTTCTCACTCCACTACGTCTTCAGCCTTTATTTTTCTACGTTTGAGACAAGGTTTATCTCAGTGAGTTTTTAGGCTAGACTCAAATTTGTGGGATTTCAGGCATGGACTGAGTTCCTGAACTTCCTGAGCTCACCCTTAGGGCTCCTCTCTCTGAGGGATCAGCCACCAGATAGTCCCGCCATCCTGAGACCGGTGTGCTGTGCAAACCCACACCAGCCTTGTGCACAGGCCCGTGGGGGAGAGGCCTGACCAGCCCCAGCCCACATGGAACAGGTACGAGTGCAGCAGACCAGACCCCAGTGCAGAAGAGCCTTCCAGCCACGTCCTACCCAGCTTTCAGGATAAGTGTTAAGTTGGGTGTTTGTGAGGTGACAACAGGTGGCTGAAACAGCCAGGATGCTGACACAGCTGCAGTCACCTGGGGCTCAATGAGGCTGGAAATCCAGGAAGGCTGTGCTCCACGCAGGCACTCTCTCCTCTCCTTTCCTCCCCCTCCCCTCCCCCTCCCCCCTCCCTCTCTTTCTCTCTCCCTCTCTCCAGGGTAATGAGATATTTTTACATGGCAGCACAGGGATCCTAGGACTGGACTAGGCCTGCAACTACCATGGCATCTCCCTCTTGGCAATTTTGTCAGGTAAAGCGAGTCCCAGGGCCTGCAGGATCCCACAGGAAGGAACAGAGCCTACTTGTGCTGGGAGGAGCAGTGGGATGTAAAGGGATGAAAGGAGTCATTGGCAGACACGCTTGAAGGCCAACCACCAGGCACAGGAGGCTGCTCCTGTGGTCCAGAGGAAGGGTCAGGAGACTGAGAGGCTGTATCAATCCTGTTTTCTATTTCCTGTATTTCATGATGTTGTGAGATCCTAGAGCTGTGCTAACTCTGGAGACACCGCCCTAGTCCAGGCTCAGTGATTCCTAGAAAGCACAAACCTGTGACCATAATTTTCATGTATAAACCAGCCCTCGCTGAGCCTGTAGCCCCACCCACCGCGTGAGCTGTCTCTCACTCCAAGCCATCTCTCCCCTGCCTTAAACCACCAGGTACCACAGGCCAGGGCTCGCCAGAACTGCTCAAAGCAGCCAGCACTCAGCTTGCTCAAGACCACTCCCCTAGGCTTTTGAAGGCCGTGGACTGCATCTTCCCCTTGCTACCGGATGGAGCTTCCCCTGTGGCCTGTGGTCTGATCGGTGCCCCTACTGTTGAGAACCTCTCATCTTACCAAACTTAGCTCGAGCAAAACCCAGGGAAGGGCCAGGAGATTGAGGGTCACCTCTGTGGATCCTGAAGTCACTAAGAAGGACCACAGGAGAGGAGTTGCAGAGAATTACAGGGAGCCAGCAGCTGAAACCCCCAGGAACTAAGAGGACTGTCCAGGGTTTGGCAAAGGTGGGGAAGATGGTGGAGCAGTGTCCTGGGAATGTAAGAAAGCATTTGCAGCCTGGAGTTCTCAGCATGCAGTGCAGTACCACTGGACCTGAGGACCACAGGACCCAGCTTGTGTCCAGGCCCAGGACTGGGTAAGAAAACGGCCATGTTGCAGGGCTCTGTCAAGCTGGGTTAGCAATAAGCAGAACAGGTGTTTGCAGAAGAGACCGAAAGATGGGGCATCTTCGGGGCTGCTGGAACCCAAAGTGCAGGTGGGCATGGGGCCAGAGCAAAGGCTCTGTGCAGCCCTGAGAGACACTATTCTTCCACTTCAGCAACATCCAGCACAGCCCCTGCCCCTCTTCCTGTGACACTTTGTTTTTGGCTTCTGCCAACCTGTCATTTGGGTGCCGCCCACCCTTCTTCACATGGGCCCCTCTAGCTCTGTGCTCAGGGGTCTCCATTTGCATAGGTGCTGACGGCACCTTCCCACCCGGAACATGAGATCTGAGGGGACTTCAGGGCTTCCTCACCCAGGACACATGCTGGGCTCCTCCCTCTGTCCCCGATAACCAGAGGAGGTTTTTGGTGGTGTCCTGTTGGGAGCAGTTCTACATGATTTGGGGGGAAAATCATTTCAGAATTAAGTCATGATTAGGACCCGGTTTGCCTGTCTATAGGCCAGCTGGGGCATATGGAGTCATAACTCTGTTTTCACCTCCTATCACAGTAAAACCCCAACGGTCCCATGATGCTGTGATGCCCCAGGACAGGACAGGACTACACTGGAGACATCCTGAGAGGAACCACATCTTCATCTGCATAGTTCCTTGTCCTAGGATCATCGCTGCACCCTCTGAGTCACTTGCTACTTATATTTCTGCGGATGTTCTAAATAAAGGTGTGGCCAGCTCCGGGTCTGGGGTCTTTGCTACCCAGAGCAGCGTGGATCAGGCCAAAGCTCAGCTTCTCCTCTGTCTCGTTTCTGTCTGTATATTAATTAATTTGCCTTGTGCTCTGGTGGCTTGCAGGAGACTAGGACCTGATGCAGAGGTTCTGGTAACGTCCCCTTTTCTCGCTCTCTGCAGTGTCCAGAACTCCGACAACTACAATCTGCAAACCAGGTATCAAATCCCTAGACTTTGGCATCCCCAGACCCACGCTGGAAGGCCTGGCCTATCAGGTGTCCGGCACCTGGGCTCCCACGAGTGAGCTCATCAGCAGGTGCCCAAAGGCTTCCCACCTAGCCTACACTTGTGCCTCTGGATAGAGACGTGTCTTGATTCATATCTGGGCCACATCCTGATCAATCAGAGTGATAATGGAGCTGGGCGTGGTGGTGCATGCCTGTAATCCCAGCACTCTGGGAGGCTGAGGCAGGAGGAATCTAGCGACTTAGACTCTGTCTCAAAACAAACAAACAAACAAACAAAAAAGAACAGGGATGAGAACTCTTGCAATACAAAAACAAATTAATTAATACATAAAAAATTTAAAAAGACGGTAGAAAATGTCCTAGTGGAGAATGCATTTGATGGGCCGAAACTACCAAGCATCGTGCCTCAAATATTCTCAGAATGCTCACATTAGCTCACATTTGGGACAATCGCCCAACTCACTGCTGCTTTGCAAAGGGTGCCTAATGTCTCAGAGAATTTATTCAGTATGTATTGAAATTGAAAAAGAAAAGGGTCGAACATGCGCAGCCAGGCATGTTGGTGAAAGCCTGTAATCCCAGCACTTTAACAGGCTGAGGCAGGATGATCTCCAGTTTGAGTTTAGACAATTTAGTAAGACTCAGTCTCAAAAAAAAAAAAAAAGCTGGGGCTGTAGCTTAGTGAGAAGGCCCTGAGTTTGATTCCCCAGTAGCAGAAAAAAATAATTAGTATAAATTTCCCCTGGTCTTAGAGTCATCCGCAGGCCCCTGCCTGAACTCTGCTGGTGGACGCCGGGTCTTCCCCGACTATGCGCATCCTTGGCGCTCTCGGGCCGCCTCCGTCCCTACCAGGCGGGCGCGGGCGCCGGGGGCCGACTGAGTGGCCCCTGGAGAGTTTTTTCTTGAAGGTCCGTGGAGTGGGGGCCGCGGGGCGCGGGGGAACCGGGTCGGGG